ATTAATGTTGCCGCACAAGGCAATTTCCGCCTGAAGATGTGGTGGAGAAGATGACCTTCCATGGAAACAGCGAGATGATGTTCACGAGAGGCTTCTGTTCGACTGAGCAGGACTAGATGATCGACAAGCTGAGTGAGATCGAGCATAGGCGCGATGCGGCCAAGGAAGTTGAAGATAGTTTGCTTGAACTCCACCAGATTTTCTTTGACATGGCATTGCTAGTTGACTCGCAGGATGAGATGATCAACAATGTAGAGAGCCATGTCTCGAGCGTTGCTGGACTCGTGAACATCATCTCGCTGTTTCCATGGAAGGTCATCTTCTCCACCACATCTTCAAATGGCAATTGTCCTGTGAGAGTAAAGTAACGGAACTCCACCTCTTTCCTATAGTCCACCATGATCCTTTGCCTCAATCGCTGGAAATCCATCATCAACTTTTTGAGCATCTTCCGTAGCGGGCCCGATCGACTGTTGTTCCCTCGCCGCAGCCAGAAATGCGGCGGTTCTCAGCATTAGCGCGGTCCATGACTTCCAGGCGCTTGCGGATGCGTCGGGCCGCATTGAGAATCTCCGATATTTGGCTGTTGATGCGGTCGCGCAGGGCGAGCCTCAGATCTTGTTTGTGGGCCAACTTACTGTCGTTATTGGTGGCCTTGAGAAGGGCGAGAAGGTTGCGAATGGGGCCGATTTCCTCGTTCACCAGCAGGGCCTCATTCAGAAATGGACGGAGACTCTCCTCTGGGTTCCAAGTTTCTATTTCAACGGCATCTTCTTCCGCAACAGCAGCGGCCTCTTGCTCTTCCATGGCATCCTGGAGGTCGAGGAATGACTTTGTCATCAGATTGTACATGGCAACAGCGAATGAGAAAGGAAGAATCGCACAATGAAAGCTCAACAGAAAGGAAGAATCGCACAGAACAGAGTCTCTCTATCCGACAAATGGACGACTGTAAGTAAGAAAGTTTGCTTGAACTCCACCAGATTGTCTTTGACATGGCATTGCTAGTTGACTCGCAGGATGAGATGATCGACAATGTAGAGAGCCATGTCTCGAGCGCTGTTGAGTGCTGAGTACATCAGAGGGGGGGGTACGCAAGAGCTAAACTCTGCAAAGAATTATCAAAGGAGTAACCACTAATGGTTATGCATCCCTATTCTTTTACTCCTTGTCCTTCTGCTGCTCGTCGTTATCATAGTCTTCACTAGCCAGTTTCACCAAGTCGTGAGCACCTTTCATTTTCTTGGTTAATTACTTAACACTTTGCTCTAGTTTTTGTATATGATAGATGCTTTCTTCCTACACTAGTTTGCTTTGTGGAATCTTGTGGTCAATGTGTTTCTTCCCAAAACAACGTATATGTTGTGTTCCTTCCGTTTATCTTGGCTTTATCAAGTCAAGTGGGTTAAATCAATCTTTACATGTTTTCTAACTTTTGTCTTCTCATGGTGAAAGATAAATTTATGGCTAGAATTTATAAAAAAAGAAAAAATCATTCAATCATTAGACCACAGATTCTTTCAGAAGCCTAATAAACCTGCTTCACCAAGTATTTCTTGAACCTGTAAATTAGTAAATCAAAATTTTAATTAGTTACTATTAACGAAAGAAATAAATAAATGCAGGTTACATTTATCGACCAATACGTTAAGCAATGGAAGATCAACCAGCTATGCACATTTACATGATAGACTGCCATGTAAAACATTTAGATTATTAATTCCATGTAACGATTGATCAGCAAGATTAGCAAGGCCTTAAATATAGGATAATGGAGCATAACAAAAAAAAGGCTGAAACATGGTCCTTCAAATTTGTAATGCCGAGCTTGTCTTAGAAATAATATAATGAAGTACAAAAACAGAAATACGTACAACAGCCTTAGTTCCATAAGGCGGGGGCGCAACAACAGCATCTTGAATCACTTCATCAGGAACAATTTCTATAACAAGATTTACTGAGGATTTGCTGATTTTCTTGTGAGACTGGAAAATAATAGATACAAGAAGTACAAAAGACCATCCAGAAGTGCAAAGCAAACTGCTCTCAAGAAATTTGCGATGTAACTGAGCAAGGATACAACATGATAAAAGGAAACAAAAAGAATGGAAGCCTGGGTATCAAATTTAATTAGTCCGATACCTGCATGCGTGTGATAATTACCCATATAGGATTTGTCAATTGCACATTTACTGATCTGCATCAAAGCAGAGAAGCTGGCATCAATCATGAATATGTTGTTAAATTGAAATGCCTGGAAAAAAATAATAAGTTTAAAGGCAAATGGAAGTATTAGTTAAATAAAAAAGTTCAAGTCAGTGCCAATACAAATGCAGCAACTACAAGTGATTTGAGCATCCTAATAGATCCATCTCCAACTCCTTTTGTTTGACGTGCAAGTGAGGTAGCTTTTGCCATGTCCCTAGTTGATAAAAATAGTAATATAAGCCCTGTCAAAAGTGAGTGCTTAATAAAGAGGCAAAAAAGGAAAAAAGAAAAAACATAAAAGTATTTTGAAGTTTCACTCAAATCTTAGCTAAACCAATTCCAATACAAACTACATACAATAGTGGATACCAGTGATCTATTCTGCAAATGGGAACCAGGAAGAGCTAATTATTTTATTTTCTTCTGCCTTGATAGCACATGGGATATAACATTTTATATAACCTTTCCTGAGAGAGTGAGAAAAAGGAGATAGAAAGAGAGTGACCAGGGAGGAAGAAGGAAGGGAGAAAAAACATTATTTAAGCATCCTTTTCATTTTATTTTTAGCAAATCATTTCGATAAAGGTGTTATTTGGTTTGTTGAACAAGGAATGCAGTGTAAATTTAATATATTTTATTTGAAATACTTTAAAAGTTATTTGGTTCAGTGTAAAATAAATGTTGGACATCACATTTTCTTATTTGATTTGAAGAAAAAAGAAATAAATAGAAAATACATGGTCAGCAGATGGCAATAGCGGCAAGCTACGGGCGGCGACTAGCAGGAGGCAGAGAGAGTGACAACTAATTTTCACCATTCATGATTATCAACTCCATGGAAGTTGAAGAAGTCAGACATAATAAGAAGGAAAGGATAGCTCTGACTAGAAATGGATTAAAGAAAGAACGGAAAGAACAAAAGTTGAAAGTAGGGAACTCTAATCCTACTCTGATACCATATAAAAAAAATAAAGGGCTAGAAAAGAACAACCATCTTGCCATAAGGCAATTCAACTACTTCCAAAGTTTCATATTTCAGTTAAGACATGCATTTCATCAAGCATCGTTGTCTGCCACCCAGAATGGGATAGAGCTTGTTGAATAGATCTAAGGACCTCAACAGAGTCTAGAGAAGCAATAAACGAGCTAGAAGTATAAGACAATTGCACATAGTTAACAAAAGAGGAAATGTGATAGGTATATTGATGTTTACCCCTTCGAAGAGGATTAAATAAATAAAAATTAATAGGATGATCTACTAAAGAAGATGACACCAGTGTAAGACTAGGATCAAGTGAACGAGCTCTTCTAGAGTAAACATTAGTGATAGATGGTCTGGGCTCAGTTGATGGTGGTGGAGGAGGAGCAAGCTCTGAATTGATGACGTGATGCATTAACAACTCATCAAAATTTTGTGTGGATTTAGGCACCGATGAGTAATCAAGGAATGGGGTTTGTTCATGAAAGCTAACATCGACAAAAACCATGTATATGTATTAGAGAGGGGAAAACACTTAACCCTTTTTGCAAATGAGAGTATCAAAGAAAGACACAATAATCACCTAGGGTTCAGCATAGAAACCTGCAGATGAGTATCATAAAGAAAACAAGTAAACCCAAATATACAAGATCCAATGAGAGAGAGAGGATTAGTTCAACATAAAATTTGGTAGAGTATCTAGTTCTGTAAAACAGTATAAGACATCTGATTTATCAGGTAACAAGCACTAAAAACTGCATCGACCAAGGACAGTTTGGGCATATTCATTTGGAATAAAAGAGTTCTAGCAATCTCAAGAAGATGTCTATTTCTTCCTTTCAACTACTCCACTTTAGGATGTTGAATCAACACAATATGATTGGGAAAGCATCTCATTTTTTGTCATGCATGTCTACAAATGTGGAGAAAATACTTTTTTGGCATTGTCACTTCTCAATATTTTAACTGAAACATTGAATTGAGTTTAATTTTAGCACAAAAGGATTGACATAATTACAATAACTCATAACAATATTTCATAAAGTAGAGTCAAGTCATAGGAGAAATATTATCCCTAAAAGTGGCAATATTTAAATTCATTAGATAAAACATGACAAGGTCCCCATACATAAGAATGAACCAACTCAAAATTACAACCAACCCTTTTATTAATTCTACAAACAAATGCAAATGATGGTGTATAGCAAATTGACATGACACACAATTTAAAGATGATAATTGCATAAATTGAGGGTATAACTTTTTTAACATTGGTAGTGATGGATACCCTAATTGATAAGGGCCCTCAAAATGACATAAGATAGTAGAACTAGTTATGGGTAGGTAGTCTGTTATCCAAAATGTACCCCCCCACTCTTGTCCTTTACCAATAATCTTCTTCGCCATATGATCCTGAAACAGATAATGGTCAATGAATAATCTCATGGTCACGACTAATGGAGTACAATTATCAATCATAGAGAAAGTTAAGTATATTATCACCGATGATACTAACCAAGATTTAAAGAAGAAGCACCCCACAGAGCAAAAGGCAGCAAATGTGATACTAATGTTAGAAAAGGACATATTTATATGACCATTTATGGGTGTAGATGGCTTGCAAAAAGAGAGAGGCACCCCATGATCTAGGAGGCACCATAATCAACCAATCAAGCCAAAATAGAAGCCCTAAAATTAGGTATAAAACCCAATCCAAAGTCAAGCCTAACCTAGACTTCATTAAGTCCAAAGTCTAAATTTGTCCATGAAACACATAAGGGTGCATAAGGAGCAACATTAAATCAAGGAAGAACAATCACTTTATTTAAAATGCAAAAAAAAATTCTTCACATAAGGAAGGCTGACCACACAAATAGAAGGCCCGACAAGATGCAATCTATTGTACCTTATCCAAACAAAGTGGTGGAAGGCTATCTAAATTTAAAATAATTGGCTTATTTTATAATTTAATTTGTTCGCAAAATAAGAAGAAATTACCCTAATCTCTAATTTTTGGGCATAGTTATCAAATGAATTATTATTATTATTAGACAAATTTTTTTTTTATTATTATTATATATATATATATATAAAAGTAGGTCTCTATTATTCTTCTTCCTCTTGCATGTGGAGAAAGAAGACGAATGGAGACCTTTCTAAGCTCAGGAATCTAATGGATAATATTTTGGTTACTTCGGGTAATGAAGACCAATTTTTTAGCTGGCTCCCTTCCAAGAATTAGAGGTAGATACAGGACTAAATTGGGTCGTCCCTAACTTTTTCCGCGCCTTGGTGGTTTTGGTTTTTTGGTCTTATATGTACCTTATCCTTTTTTGGGATTTTGTGTATATTGTACCGTGTAGGTTAGGTGCCTACTTTTTGACCCACTTATACAACCTATCTGCATCTTTTTCTCTTTAATTTATTAGCCTTTGAGCTTATATATATATATATATATATGTCCAATACATTAAAAATGTGTATATAACTTGTACTAGGATTTTTTTTTTCAATTCAATCGAATTCAACCATTGAATGAAATAATTAATATAAAAAATTCCAGTCCACCTTATTTTCTCTATCCATTTTAAAAGCCAACTAAGGCTTTCAAATCTTTTTGAATAATACAACCACTATTCATCTATCTACCCTAGCCGACTTCATGCCCCATCTCCAACCAAATCATAAAGGAGACATTTACATAAATACCACCCAATTCTTATGTATTTACTTATTTAACACATATTTTAGTTTTTACATTTATACCATTCAAACTTTTCACATCTAGGGCTGTAAACGAGGCAAGCCTGAGCGAACTCAGGCTGGGCTCGTGTTCGCTAGTTCAAAATTGACTCGTGTTCGAACTTGGCTCATGATCGAAATGGCTTATGAACAGTGTGTTCTTGTTCGGCTCGAAAAACTTATTCGTGTTCGTGTTCGGCTCGAAATTAGCTCATTAGAATATTAAATTGTTATAATAATAATTAATTTTTTTAAACAAAATTAAAATAATAATTTTTCTAAAAAAAAATTTTGTATAAAAATTAATTAATTATAATTTATAATATTTAATTTTATGAATACTTATTATGTATATATATCTTTTATTATTTATTTATTTTTTAGTCAATTCGAGCTGAACACAAGTGAACAAATTTTTGTCCGTGTTTGGCTTGTTTATATTTCATAAAGTAAAGTCAAGTCATATGAGAAATGTTATCCCTAAAAGTGACAATATTTAAATTCATTAGATAAAACATGACAAGGTCCCCATACATCAGAATGAACAAACTCAAAACTACAACACTTTTATTAATTCTACAAACAGACGCAAATGATGGTGTTTAGCAAAATGACATGACACACAATTTAAAGATGATAATTTCATAAATTGAGGGTATAACTTTTTTAACATTGTTAGTAATGGATACCCTAATTTAGTAGGGGGTTCCTCAATGGAAGGAACAAGAGGTTTACAATTTTCAGTAGTATAAAGTATCTCAAACTCTCCCCAACAATTTTTGGGTTATTCTCTACCAATAGAGCTAATTCATCCATAAAGTTTGTAGAATCATTTTTGCTTGAATCTTGCTACACTGATTTAACTTCACAACTCTCCAAAAAATTATGACTTAAGAGTTGATCTATGAGATCCATCCTTTAAGATGCGTCATCATTATAATCAGAAGGAAGTTTCGTAAATTTTAACACATTAAAAGTTACCTCCTGATCGTTCACTTTCATTGTCAACTCTCATTTCTGCACATCAATCATCGCTCTGTCAGTGGCTAAGAAAGGTCTACCTAGTATTATGGGGATGACTTTATCTCCCTCCATGTCAAGTACAATGAAATCAATAGAGAAGAAAAAATTTATCCACCTTCACTAGAATATCCTTTATAACCCCCCTCTGATACATGATCGAGCCATCAGCAAGTTGAAGGGTTATAGTGGTATGAGACTACTCTCCTAATCCTAACCACTTGAAAATGGAAAATGGCATAAAGTTAATACCGACACCCAAATCACATAAAGCCTTCCAATTGAACTTCTCACAAATAGCACATGCAATCATAAAGCTCCTAGGATCCTTAAGCTTCTGAGAAAGCTTCTTCTGAATAATAGCACTGTATTCCTCACTGTGTGTTACCATCTCATAATCTCTAAACTTTCTCTTCTTATTAAAAATATCATTCATGAACTTTACATAGTTGGGCATTGTCGGCTATTTTTTTTTCAAAAATAGGATTTTAAAATTTAAATTTAGAATTTAATATATATATATATATAATGTATAATGTAATTTTAATTTTGTGAAAATGGTATCTTTTATTTTTGGAAAATGATGAGACCAGATAGACCCCATATATCTAATAGTTTAAATAGCTGAGTAAAATACCATAAATGATATATCATCTCGGAGGATGAACGTATCACTTATTAGTAGGCTTAACTATCTAAACTTAAAAACTTATGACTCTATTTTGGTCCGCAAAATTTATAGCCGATAAATTCTCCTATTTAATACACAGATTAGATAGGGTTTAAATTAATCTGGGTTCTTAAATTTCCTATAGGAGCAAGCCCCAATAGTTAATTACATCTTAGATAACAAAGTCACCTAAGAAAACTCTCGATAATGATCAGAGGTTTCGTCTTCAAGAATTCAACGTTCAAGTTTCCACGATTGTTCATAGGAAAAGTCAAATGGGATAGGTTCAAATAAGAACAGTTATTTTCAGAATCCAAAGAAGTGAAAAGTATGAGATGTCAAAGATACTGAAGGAGATTCAGTAACATCTCAAACTAATCTACGGTTTGGCTTTACGTCTTTGAAAGAGAAATTATTTGATGTTTCAGTCATGCAAATTATTTACATGTTCGGGACTTGTATCTACACGTCATATGCAAATAGTCCGAGAAAATGTGAGGATTTATGTCGTACTAAACGACGACCTCGGAATCCTAAAAAGTTTAGGACTTATATCGTACGATATAAAATCGTAGAAATTCCTAAAAGATAATGTGAGGATTTACGTCGTGTCAAACAAACAACTTCAACGTCTTATAGGTATGTTATTTACACCTATCGAGGTTCTGCATATGTTCATCCTTCCGTCTTTGGTAGTTGTCTCGACCGTTGTCCGAAGATGAATCGTCAACCTACCACGTTGTCGTCTCGTTCCGAGAAGAGGAGAGAGAGAAGAGAGAATAAAAAAAATCATGTCTCGAACAGCCTATCCTAGGGGATTGCACAAACATACTAGAAAGGTAGTAACTAAACCATGAATATTGGTAAATGTATACAGTACAACAAAGA